CAATGATAAATAATTCGACGATAAATGAGCTTCGCCGGTAAATTAAGATTTAAGGAATGCGTCGTGCTCGCGTGTTTAATAAATTTATACACGACATTACGTTATTGTTTTACATGTTTACTAAGCTCCAAAATAACGACGCGATATTTGTACGATGTTTATTTCATTGTCGTACGTTGTACTTAATTATTATTACCGCAATGATTTTTATCCCGGCCGTCGCATTTTGTCTCAAGACACGAATTATGTTTGGAACGGTCACTTTAGCGGGAGAAACACGCAGAAGTCGCGTGCACAGCGTATGTCCATTACTTAGACTCGATAGCCAGTAGCCATTTATTGAGCGCGCTTATAAATCACGCGCACGTTCGTTACCTCACTTGGGCCAACGACGGTGGCGATGCGATTTTATTTGAGAAACTGGATTAAACGGAACGAGAAAGTTCCGTTGTCGCCGCCGCGCCGTTGTCGTCGTTGAAAGTGTCCTGCATTAGCATGTGCGTCTACCTTGGATCGAAATCGTCCTTGGTCTCAACAAGAAACGTCAATTCTCGATCTAAAGGAATCGCTAAGGAGCTACTTTCATTGACCATCAATTTAGAATTACATAATTTTCAATCAAGAGCGTACACGGCAGGGACCGAAATGTCCCACGTAATAAAATAGAATTTCTAGTGAAATAAAATAAAAATCGGTAAAAAAAAGTATTATTATTATATTTTAAAATTGTATTACATGTATTTTATATGTTATTACGTCATTTAATTATCATTATATATTACTGCTATTATTATTTTATACTATTGTGCTTTATTATCTTTTTTATCGAGAGTCTCTTCTTTTTACAAACAGTGTAAGATTATTACACCGAAAAATATTTTTCTTCCTTTCAAATCTCTCCTAATCGAGTTGTCAGAAATTTTTGCGATTATAATTTTATCCCTGGCATTCCACCTTTTTTCTAAATCCTTCCTTCCGATCTCAAGACTTTCCTATATGACGAAATAACTCGTCCACTGTCGCGAGAAATGGCGAAATGCGTTGCAAAACCCGTGCAACTTTCTTACGTGACGAATCGTAACAGCCATTGGAAATGTAAACGGATGGTATGAGGTGAGCCGATACGGCGTGATACGATTGATCGATATACGACCTTTCGCAATATTGCAAAAACTAGTGTCGGAATTGAAAAAGGCCCGCAAGAAAAGGCGATTTTGTGTAAATCCAGGAAACAAGTCTTAGTGTTAGAAAATACATCATTCATATACAATAATGAATATATTGCTCGAAATTTTCGTTATCAATTACATCTACGACGAAATCCTAATTACATAATTATTCGTGTCTATCGTTACCGAGAAGATCGCAATCAGAAAACATAGAAAACTTTACTAATTCTGTTAGTTTCTAAATGACGTAAGTACATTTTTTACGCCTTTCAGGAAATGAAAACTCTGAATGAGAACCTACTGAGAATTTCCAGTATTTAAAAGTATACTTTAACGAGTATAAAATTTATGAACATTAACAAACGATTTTATAACATAACAGTCGATAAAATGAATTATTTGAATTGAAAAGCGTAATGTACAATCGAAAAGCGCGTTGCGCACGAATTGGAAAATGTAGGAATTATTTGGAAATGAAGAAAGACAACTACTCTATTGGAACTTGGGTTCTACGATGGATCTCAATTGATCATTTTACTGCGACCGTGCCAAGATACCGTTAAAACGATTTCTATATCCATATGAAGAACGTAAATCAATCTCACCAACAAGGAAACAACGAAACGAAGAAAGAAAAACGAATCGAATTTTGTCCCACTACGCTCCATTTTCGTGACTTTTTTGTGTGCTCGCGTGTTTAATTTTTTTTAAACTTTGCAGTTAATTATTCGTCTTTTGCAATTAACATTCAGTTTTTTACTTCTCTGAAAAGGCGGCCCTCAAGAACGTTCATTAATGAAATGGAATACGCGATACTTCAATTTGCAAAGAAAAGATATTTATGTGCTGCGTGTACAAAGTATTTGAATTTTAAAATGATATTACAATGGAAATTATAAAAGAGACAAAGGAGTTTAAGAAGGATAATGTTTATTTGGCAAAGGAAAACTAGATTTGAGCAAGAAGGTGGAATCAAGCAAAAAAGGAGAGTTGAATGTAGGTAAATTTCTACTTTCGTGCACGCGATGTTAATGTAAATTCCAAACTTTTACTCCTGTCTTGGCGAGGATGATTACATAGCAATTGTGACGAAAACATCCAAACATGTACACATTATTTCCGATCAAAGAGATTTATATAGAAATTTTCACTTGTATTATTTAAAAGGTAATATATTCATATAACTTGCAACTGACATCTACCAATCTGCATATTGACATTATGTCCAGATAATTATGAGTTTGTAAGTAAGAAAATTAGTATTTTTCAACAAGTACTAAATCTAGAAAAATATTTTGATATAATCAAATATCTCTTCCTTTAAATTCTCATAACACATTTCAAAGTATCTTCTGATGAAACTAATGCAAAGATGTTAACTCTCATCAGGATCAGCACTTCCAGAAAAACAACGTCGCCTACACTGATAAAAAATGTCTTAATCCAAAAAAATATTACTTCACTCAAAAAAATTATTCATTAGGTGGCTCCTAATAGCTTATTAACTTAAATTTAAAAAATTATAAACAAATTAAAACATGCTTCGCTTTAATTTAAGTATTTATTAAATATCAAAGAATACCCTGATAGCACAACAAGTCTCAGTTATGTCTCAGTTATGTGCTATCAGGGTAGATAATTTGAAATTTAACAAATTAATTTTAATTCCATAAAATGTTTACTAAGATGTAATTTTCACTCATTGTCTCAATTTCACTCATCAGTGTATGTCAATTGTATATCAATGGTATCCGAAATGCATTAAGAGAGCATAATCCTGATCTGCAATGTGCTCTTTGCGTCTAGAAACATTCTATTTTGTAGTTGATAAATTGTACAATCGTATGCTGTCGACAAAGTTTTGAAGCGTTTTGAATTGCTTATATAAAACAGAATGTTTCTAGACCCCAAGAGCACATTGTAGATCAGGCTTAAGGGCTATCGCACACAAAATTGCATAGCTGCAATCATACGCATAGCATAAGACCGTCTAGGCCAACGAGCACGTTATGTAAATAAATATGGAAACATAATACTCTCGATGCTTATTTAGACGGTTCTTATGCTATGTAGCTGTGCAATTTTGTGTGCGATAGGCCTAACTCGACGATCCATGTACAGTGATGGACCGAATAGTTGCGACACTTAATTTTTAGTGAGTTCAGAAACGCGCATTTAGATTCGGGTTCCAAAACATTTTCTCCGGCGAAAATTTTACTCGAGAAATAGATGGCAAGCACTCAAAACGGTTTTGGAATGGCCATCGTGTGAAATATTCTTCGGACAAGAAGATTTTGGAACTTAATCTGAAAAAAAAATGGAACCGTGTCGCAACCATTCTGTCCATCACTGTACTTTCTTGTAACGGATTTATAGCGCCGGATCCTGAAAAGGGTGGTGTCTCGGCGGGATGAGTCACGCGACTGAGCGCACGACGCACGACCTTCGGCCCCTACCCCGTTATTTTATATCACGTCGCAGACTGCCGTGACCTTATGATTATCATTGTAGCCACGTATCACAGCCGCGTATATGTATAATTATTATTATAGCCACGGGCCGACCGGTATTCTGCAAATCGCACGACCATGGCCGGCCGGCACACGTCGACTGCGTACGAAAGCAGTTCGACGAATTTATCGATACGCAAACGCATTTCCCGCCGTCTTCTCGAGTAAGCTAATTAAAGCGAATTCTTTTACAGAAATATATTACTCCTTCCTGGACCTACAGCTCTCAAACTAGTCCGTCAAAAAGTTCTCCAACGGTCCTGCGGAACGTTAATATAAATGCGCTGAGATTTATCTCGAGATAAATCCTCATTTTTCTCGCCAGAAATAAAAGATTCGGGCTAAGGCGATATTTTATGACTGCGGAGCAAACGAGAAGTTTTCGGCTTCGCCTCCCTTTCGCCCGCATCTCAAAGAACGACCGTAATACCCGGGGTCTCTTTCTCTCGGCGCGGAATTTCGCGAGCCTCGGGAGGAACAAAGCGCTTTGAAGATCGTAAGGCGCTATTCTTCGGCATATTCGGCGCGAAAACCAGGTTTCGAAAACTGGTCGCGCGACTGGCGGCAGATAACGCGGCGATGCGAGAGAAAAAAGAAATGTTCCTGGCATTAAGAACTCGAAAGTTATTTCAACGATTTGAGGATTCGCCAGCGAAAGGACGGAGGAGATGTCGTGGGACATCGAACGCCGTTTCCAGGAGAGGCGAGAGGAGAATTTATTTCATATTCGATACTGCAGCTAGGGCATAAAAAAGAAACTATCTAAGTTCTCTGAAGTTTTGCTTTAACACCTAAAGCAGATAAATGCACAGATACGTGCGCGCGTGTGGGTGTTTTATATTACTTTAATTCCCCCCATTCAACTCCAACTTTTAAAAGTCTGTTCCCCTGGATATACCATTGTCACTACCACGTTCTTTTTACGCGGCGATTTCCTTCATTCAAGAACTGGAAACAAGATAGCTGAGGCTGACGAGAATGGAAATACATCGAATACTCGCAATGTGGTAGTTTGTTTCACAAATCTGTCTCATAACACGAGGAAAGAAGAAGAGAGTGAGAAATAGAGAGACGGACGAGGAGAGAGGGGTAACATTATAAATAAAAGACAGCAAATTTTTAAGTGAGAGACAAGAGAGGGGAGAAAGAGGGAGAGAGGGGAAAAGAGAGAGAGAGAGAGAGAAAAGTAGAGAGGTGCACCTCTTCTCGAGGTGTCCGAAGGAGGAGGTGGTAGCCGTAAAAAGGGGAGGAGGGGAGAGGGACCTATGACACGTGACCAATGACTTATATAAAGGTGGCGAACGTCAGGGCCCAAACACAGAGTTCTATCTCTCGACGCAGCGGAGGCGGTGTCCTTAAAAGTGTTTGTAGAATTTTTTTTCCGTTAATTTTTCGTTTGCCTCCGCGTCACATAGTCGACTTTTTCGTTGAACCATGAGGACGTACTACGTGATAGCCGCCATACTGATCGCCGGTACGTAAATACAGACCAACCAACACCGGGGGAGGGGTATAAGGGGGTGGTGAAGTTGAAATGGGCCGGTTAAATCGCGCGGATGATCGCGAGTGAGACGCGATAATCTTCGAACAATGAGAAAGTGGAGGTTTCATCGTTAGTGTGTGAAACATGCGCGTGTGGTAGAGTAGATGCAGTGCGCCCTACGTGCGTCGAGAACAGGATATAATCGGAACTCTTGCGCCGGGATCCCGCCGCATCGGAGGACCCGCGGAGATAGTCCTTGGAAAACTTCCGAAAACGCGATCGCGATCGTTTAATTCGTATTCGCGCGGTCACGTGTGCAAGTTTTCGATTTACGAATATTTCTCTCTCTCTCTCTATTTCTCTTCTTCTTTCCTCCTTCCTTTTCCTTCTCTCTCCCTTTTATTCTCTCCATCGCGATCTATTGACTTAAATCGTTATTTGTTAATTAGTAGTTTATTATTATTTTATTTTCCTACAGTCAAATTTAACATTATTTGGATTAAAGGCACCACCGTAATGTCAAAAGAAAAACTGTTAACAAACGGAAAGATTGATATATTTTTATAAGATTTTATACTGAAAGATACAAAAGTTTTATGTAAATATAACTTTTCAAGTTAAAATATATAATATAATTAAATGTGTTACAAATTTTCTGATCATAAAAATATTTTGCATTTACGCATATATGTAGTTTTAATATTGAGCAGATAATACGATTATTTTTTGCTCGTGTGTAGATGCAAAAAAAACGCAAGAAATAAAATGCAAGTATGTACATCTATCCAATGACAAAATAATTTAACTAAACCGCAATCACGATTATATTTAGTAAGCTTACAATTCTATTATTCTATTTTCTGCATAATGGAATAAAGAAATGTTTTCTAAGATTATCAATATTTCTGAAAAAGTTTTAAGAGAATTATTTAGAATTCTGTATTTTTATATTAATTAGATACGATTATATTTATCTTGGACTTTAATTTTTATTGGGCAATAAAATCGTGTTTTTTTTCTCTAAAAATGGTAAATTCCGTGACGAGTACTTTCTAACTGTGTTAATTAAGTACCGCAATAATTGAAAATTGCGCCTGGTCTAAAAAATTTTCCACGCTTTCTTGCCATCGCGGCATAACCTTGGCCCAGATCTTGACCCTAGCTCCTTTTCGTTCCTTTCTTGCCAAAGGAAAATTCAAGAATGAGATTAATCGCAACGAAAATAACTTTCCTGATAAACTAATTTCAAACTGTCCATATGTATAATACCGATTTTCCGTAAGTATAATCAAGAATAATGGAGAAAAAATCGTTTAAATTACTAAGAATTTTACAATATAATCGAGAAAATTATTGAAAGACTATAAAAGAAATATTTACAGTCTTAATATTTAATGGTTTTACTGAAAAACTACTGAATATATATAAATTCTACAGATCTACAACGCAAAAGAAATGAAAATGTTTATATGCAACGTTAGCGTAAATCGTGTAATTATTGAGAGAAAAATTATACTCAATCCTTCAGTGAAAATATGATATTATGAAGAGACTCGTATCTTGTATGTTAGAAATTTTCTTTCAGAAAACGGACATTTACTCTCATCATACTTTATATATAAATGTATATGATGAAATATTTGATAATTGAAGTATGTAACCAATTATTACGTATCGTGTATTAGACTCCCACATAAGATTTATAATAAAACTTTCTTAGTTAATACCATAGAAAGAAGAGAGAGAGAGAGAGAGAGAGAGAGAGAGAGAGAAAATAAATATTCAAAAAAATCAAAAAATATCCAAACTAATTGTTAAAAATTTTTTCACGAAAATAAAATTTTTTAAATTTCAAACACATTGTGAATATACTTAAACATATGTTTCTTGGATTTACTTAATACCTTCTAACTTTATCCTTCTTTGAACACAATGTCAATTCTTGATCTCATTGTAGAAGTTTGATTTTTAACGTGCAAATCATTTCAGTACATATGTAAATCAGTGTTTTATATAACCACTGCATACTTTAAACAAGTAATTATATAACGACCTAATGCCGCATATTTTACAAAACGAGTCGCACGAAACTGGAACGAAGCGAGGGGGGCGGGGGTGGGGGACTCCTGTCTGTGGTCCCCTGGCCGACGAATATTTCGAAGTCGCTTTCGGTGGCGGGACCGGTCCCGTGGAAAACGAAAGTGAACACAGCTCCAAGCAGACGCATTCGTATACAGACTCGCACTGAGGCTCGGCGAACCGGGTGAACGGGATGCTGGGAGGGCCCAGTCACGAGCGGCTGCGGCCGGGGCCTGGCCGCGGGCCCAAAGTGAAAGCGCCCGGCGAAAGTTACCGTCCGGCGCGCACAGTCCCTTACATAAGATACATTTTAGCTTATTCAGGCGTCATACGCCGCGTGCGCGTGCGCGTGAAAGAAAGAAAGGGGCGTAAAAAAAATATATATATTAGACGCAATTAACGCGGACGCGCTGTACTCTTGAAACAATACATTATGTACCTTACTCTAATCTACCCCTTCGGATTTATTCTCCCGTAACGATGCCTGGATACGTTTCCTGCTGCACCCGCCATTTTTTTTTCGCGGTCGTTGCTGTTAAACGGGGGAATGGAAAGAGGAAACCGGAATGGAGGCTCTCTCGCGGCCGGCAGTTAATTTTAGCTTGCGATTTCCTACGGAGAACGGAGTGCTGTCGAGCTAAAGGCGGGGTCGCTTTTAACCGCGGTCCGAGAAACTCGAGGCAACGATTCGCGGATACGAGGTAGAAGTGGTATTTTTTCTTGTACTTCCTGGGGGAGATACAAGAAAACGTAGTAGCCTTTTATGTACCTTACAGCCTCAAGATATTTGAGGAAAAATACGCTTCACTCTTTCGTTCGCGAGCACTGCAGAAACATAATTGTTTCTGAAGCGAATTATATTGTCCCTCGCGAGAGACGAAATTCTGCGAACACACTACGGATTTGTCTTCGCTAGAATATAGATATCAATTAACGTTTAACACAGCGAAGAGCCTCGAGAGAATCGAACGAACTCGAACATGCGATCTTGATCATTTCAGGGACGAACGGTCAGGAGTCCTTCAAATGTCCGGACGATTTCGGGTTCTATCCTCATCACATATCGTGCGACAAGTACTGGAAATGCGACAATAACGTGGCGGAGCTGAAGACGTGCGGCAACGGTCTAGCATTCGACTCCAGCGACAACAAGTTCCTCACCGAGAACTGCGATTACCTGCACAACGTGGACTGCGGCGAGCGCGCGCAGCTCGAACCGCCCATCAGCACGCCGCACTGCGCCCGCCTCTACGGCATCTTCCCCGACGAGAAGAAGTGCGACGTCTTTTGGAACTGTTGGAACGGCGAGGCCTCCCGCTACCAGTGCAGCCCCGGACTGGCCTACGACCGTGAGGCCAGGGTGTGCATGTGGGCCGATCAAGTGCCCGAGTGCAGAAACGAAGGTATCGACCCCGCCGGTCGCGAGTCCGTCTTGAGTTCAGTTCATTGCGAGCTGCACAGTCGAGCCTGATCGACTTGTTAACTTCCGAGGACGTTAGAACCGTTCGGGTGAAGAAGATATCGGCAAAGAATAATGTTCCGATCGTGCATATCATTGAAGATAATTCTTCCGTGACGTAATAATTATTCAGAGAGTTCGTCCCTGGAGTTTCGCAGTTTAAAACTTCCTTTATTGCGGAGGACCCTTAAATTGACTGTTGCAACTTCTGTTTCTGACGTAATCGACACTTCAATGTTATTTCAACGACACGCTGTTGGCGTCAAATCGAATGTTATAACGTGGACTTGTAGGATTTCTGATCCAGTCACTCAGGAACTCGTCACGGGCGATTTGACGCGGATAATAGGACATACATAAAACGGCCAATACCGCCTCTCTACTGCGAGACATACAACTGTATCGCAGATCCTTCCATTTCCTTTCCACTCGCCTCCTTTCTACGTTAACTCTGTGATTTTTCTTCTCTTACGTACCCTTGGGAAAATTTACTTGAAATGAAATTCAAGTTTTTAAAAGTAATCTTTCAAATCCACGAGTTTACTTAAGAAAGTTTAGAGTAAGTTAGGACACGGTAATTTTCAGATTCAGTCAAGTCTGTCGAAGTTCCCGCTAGAGGGCCGCGCGGTATTACAACTTATATCACATGCTTTTCACAATTCTCTTAAAGTTTTCTTTTAAATTATTAAAGTGACTTTCAAGTTTACCTTAGATAAAAGTTTCGAGTGTCCTTTACTTTCTATATTTCTTATTTTTCTAAAGTAACATTTAAAGGTTTTCTAAGAGGTATATTTTCCCAAGGGTATAAAAATAGAATAAACTATTTTTTTTCTCTCACACCATATACGTATTTCTTACGAGTTCGACTTTCTTATTGATTAAATAACTCTTAAAAGTTAAAAGGGTCAAACGTATCTTCTTTATGTCACACGTATTGTGCATTTCATATTGTTATGTGCTTGGTATCTCGTACTTTTGTTCGCCCCTGATCAGTATCGCACGTAATTACGAAGAGATACGGTGCCTTTCTCTGTCGCTCGTATTATATGTCTATTTGTTGCTTCACGCAGAGGTCGCCGGAGGTTTCACGTGTCCGGCCGCGGGAGAAGTGAGCGGCGCATCCGGCAGCTTCAGCAGACACGCCCATCCGGAGGATTGCAGAAAGTACTACATATGTCTTGAGGGCATCGCCAGGGAGTACGGCTGCCCGATCGGCACCGTCTTCAAGATCGGCGACGCCGACGGCAGCGGCGCCTGCGAGGACCCGGAGGATGTTCCTGGATGGTGAGCGTTTTTAATGTTTTCTAACGGATTCTGTCGTAAAACTGCAGTGCAAGAATGAACTGCGAGAACGATCAAGAAGTATTGAGAAAAACAGATACCAAAATTGCTACGAATTTTTACATTCCGAAAAGAAGCGGAAGGGAGAATTTTAGAGTGAAATTACTTGGTCCATTTGAACGATCTTTCTCTTTCTACGAATTATTTCATTCGTTTCTGCGCAATCATGGTTGATTTTTGAAACGATTAGCATATGGTATAAGTTTAAACGGTCGAACTCTAATCCAAGACCACGCAGTCGAATACGACATAAAAACGGATAATTCGTATCTACCAGAATTCTTTTAACTTCGATTTCACACAATGATAAATGTTGATCAAGAATTCAAGATCTCATCTGTTTAAATTACGATCGCTGGAAGGAACATAAAGCAAAATGCAAAAAAGTCGCTGTAATGATTGATTAGCGTAAAAATTTCCCCCAAAAAGTTAAACATACGAAAGCTAATTTTGTAAAACTTGAAAAATTTTGAGTGCGAACGTTGTTTTTAAAACTAAATTTTCCTTAACTTCCTACGTGTCTTTTCTCTCTTCTAATATTTCCATATAATTTTCATCAATCAATTCTTTCTAAATAGTCTTGTAATTTTCTGCCAGTCATATCTTGTGATATTAATATTAGTTTTGGAGACTACATTAAATAACTATAAAATTAACAGAGCGCAATGAAACTCCGCCAAGAAATGTGTGCTAAAAGTCGTTGAACGTACGAAAATGATATTAACGACAACGATGCATTGCGCAACAAATAATTGGGGGCGCATTATAAAAATGTTGGAATTTAATTATCTCGGTAATTACAGTCATCCGATGGAAATATCGAGCTACCCTGGATGAAATCGTGTTCGAGGGCTTTCGGGGAAGGAATTGCATTTGCATTGGACAATGTGTAATTAAGGAGATATTCGCGTTACAGCACACTTTCGCGGTGGTTAATCATGTTTTTGCGCAATTACTGTAAAAAAGAAGTAATCTAAATGGAAATTTGACGTGCAGCAAATCGTGTACTTAAAAATTGAAGAGTCGAATCGCGAATTGAGTTTTGTCTGTGAAAGTTGAATTTCTGTTTTCGAACATTAAGTGCTTGATCGTAAATTGGCAAATAATTTTGTGTATTAATTATTATTAATATTGGTAATTATACTTCTTAATTATCCTCTAACATGTGGCTAACGTATATGTTAACTGTCTCATCGTTCTAACGTTATTGTAATACTACCCATTCGTATGGATTGCCTAGAAAAGTGTACTTTACAATTGTGTTCATTTCATATAATTTTTATCTGTATCTAAAGAATTTATATTGAATCGAAATTGGAATCAATCTCAACACGATTCTAATTGCCTGGCAATCTACGTAGTAAATCGTAGAAGTACTAGATACCTAATCGTGAAAATTTGCACACATATACACACCTAAATAAGGCGACGAAAGAAGATTTTCCTCGCATTCTCCTACAATTTCTTGCATTCTCCGCGCGGTTTGCAAATTTTCATGACTAATTGTAAATGCAAGCATAGTATCTTTGTGTGTATGCATGTGCATCTCGTCCGCAACATAACGACAAGAGCACGCCAGTACGCAGTAGCGCGCACCGAGCATGTCTTGACCTCCGGGTTTTTCTCGATTTTGCTCCGCAGTGAGGATTACTACGGTGACTTGGACCTGAAGAGCATCCGGAAGAGCGAGCTGCTTGCCGGTATCCAGAGCGAGCCCAGAAAGCCGAACCAGGTCCTCAAACCTAGGCCCACAACAGTAGGAGGGCCCACGAGGCCCTCACCCAATCAGGAATAAATCCTGATTTACCTCGCTCTCTCTCTCTCCCTCCATCCCTTCATCTTTTCACGCCCTCTCTATTTCTTTTTGCCTCTCGTTTTCTTTCTACTTCTCTCATTCTTTTTTTTTCTTTGTTGCTGTCATTTAATTTTATCGAGTTCTATTGTTTAACGCAGGTTATTAGTCTAAAGTCTAGATTGTCAAATTTAAATGTAGCGCTCCTTCTTACAAGGAATAATGATCCTTTACTACAATAGAATTCGTTTGTCATGTTCACATAATCGTGCTCCAAAATTTACCTGGCGAAAACGAATTATGCCCTGTGTTTTAATAAAGAATAAAAGTATGCCCTAAACAGAAAGTTTAATTTCTTTTACTATTTTACTTCAATTCTCCACGATAAAAATATTCGCAAATCTATTCACGTTCCTTTGTATATTTTATTTTTTAATGTTGTCCTATTCCGCATTATTTAAATTTATATCGATTTTATGCTAATAAATTGTATCGAAGAACACTTCTTTCTCTTTTCCTTTCTTTTTCTCTATTCTTATTTCTTTATCTTGTCCTTCTCCTGCCTTTTTGAATTCTACTCTTCCTCTTTCTTTCTTTATCTCTCCCTCTCTCTCTCTCTCTCTCTCTCTCTCTCTCTTTCGTTTTCTGTTTCTTCAAACATAATAAACATACTTTCGCGTACGCATAATCGAGGAAAAATGCAGCCCTGATTATAAAGAGATTTTCTCCGAAAAAGAAGTAATCGGCAGCCCGCGAGGATCTCCAGGCGAAATCTCGGAGTTAAATTCGAAATAAAACCTCCGTGAGATTCTGAAAGAATAAGAAATGCGCGTTCGAGCTGCTGTAAATTTCGTGCCTTCATATACTCTCGCGAAATTCTCTCTCGTCGCTCTAATTACGCGTCTCCACGCGATCTCGATGCACGAGTATATGCTCTATTTTTGTAATTATAATAGAATAGAAGAAAAAGGACAAAGATACACACACATACACACATATATACGCGCGCGCGATTAGTTAGCGCGACGAGTAATTGCGAATTTCGAGAATTCATATAAAACTCCTTGTTCACTTGTATCTGTCTCGGTTTGCAATATACGCGTAACTATTTACGAAATCTATTAATGTAATTTTCAGAACAAATTTCTGTAAGAACTGGCAAATTTGTGCTGAAATTGACATAATTATTCTATTAGTATTTTTCAACGTACACATTGCACAGAATTAATTGTAGTTTATAATATTTAAAGATCCCCTCTTAGCTTAAACGGGACCTAAAATCTTGTCGATTTTCTATCGCTACAATGTCTAATTGATAATAATTGACATTGAGAAAGTATCAAATTTTCTCAGAACATTCCCTGACAAATGCTCAAAGATGTCCCGCAAAATTTATATTAATAATTTGAATTAATCAGGACGCCTTGTAGGCGATTTCTTTCAATTAATTTCTTTTCAGAAATATAAAATTTGCCCTCTCCTAACTGCTTCTAATCTATCTACACACTTTTAACTATCTTCAATCTATCTTTCTTCTGTCTTTTTTCCCTGTTTTTCTTTACTGTGAGAATAGAAATTTAAAATTTGTAATTTCGTAATAATGAAGTCGCTACAATCGAGGGCCGCTTTTGCAAAATTGCAATTTTGTTAAAAACGTATATTCTGTTGATTATTTATCATCCTGTCATTGTACCGATACAGCTCCTGATTTATCTTACCGTGTTAATTTGTTTCACAAAAATGGTCAATAAAATGTGTGAAAAGTTTTACTATTAATTAACGGTTGAATTTTTTGCAAAAATTGTTCTCGATACAATAAGACAACTGAAAAGCTGAATTTAACGAAATTACGGATTTTAATTCTTGAATGAGACACACGATAAAGAAAAGTAAAAGACATCGATTTTACATCGCGTATGAAAACGAGATCTATCGGACTCGCGTAATTAACAATCTACAGTTCAGAAATCCTTCCGACTCTTGACATTACGTAAGCAAGATTGGCCGGTTTGTCGTGTATCTTTAAGTAAAAGCGAAAAGTCTATACAATAAAAAAAAAAGAAAACTCTTGAAAGATTTCGACTTGTATTTTCACCTCATATTTGATGTTAAAAATTTTATTTATAACAATTTCGAGTTCTATTTATGTAATACGTTAAGATCGCGAGTATTTGCTTGTAAGATATAATTAGGTAATAATTAAATTGCAATTAAAATTCTGAAATTATCTTATTATTTAATCGATATATCGTTATGATTATATTGCGTGTCATACAGCAGAGAAGAATTAGGCCACGTTTGACGTTAAATGTGTGGTGAAAATATAAGCAATTTCTCTGTCTATTTGCCTTCGAATCCCGTTTCCCAATCCATCGAACGCTAATCATTTCTCCATTTGTTCTTAATTCTTAATATATTTAATAGGTTTCTCAGCACATTCTGTGTAGTCACTTGTTGCATGTGAAAACTATCGCCTAATGATGTATATAACTTAATCGTAACGTATGCAATGTATCGATTAAAGCCTGAAAATCTTAACTTGAAGCTTAAGAAAACCAGCATCTTAACACGCGCCGAATCTGTACATATCGAATTAGCTTTATCATAATTTTAACTGAAGCGAAGATTGAAGAAACGTACATTACATTATTCCATGTACATATTATATTTCAATCTTGTCGAATTTCGTATTGTTCGCACTTATTTGTTTTAAGAAAGAAATAAAACAAATTAAAATATTTACGAGATCTTGCCCGATACGCGCGAAGCGAAAACGACTGGCGAGCTGAGGTAACATTAGTCAAGTTTGCTGAAGTTAATAAAACATAGCTACTCAAAAGGTTCGTTTTCTATTGCTGCACAGGTGAACTAGTGCAATAAATTAGAGTAAGACAAGTCTATTTTTTTCTCATTCTAGCTTACTGCACTGGTTTACAGTGCAGCAATAGAAAACGAGCCTAAAACCTTTCCCTTTTTCTCGCGGGGGTAGATTTTCTTTCATCCTCAATGCGACCTTTATTCAGACTTGGCGACTTGAGGAATTACTCACAATCCGATCAAATCAGAAAGATCTATGCGTAGATCCACAGTTCGCGCGAGAATTACGATTCACGTATTCTGAAGACCGTGGGTCTTCGATTGAGGGCGATCAACGCGTTACGCTCAAGTCACACGCATTATTTTCATGCATTTCCCAGCCAGGACTATTATGGCGACGTGGACCTGAAGGCCCTGCGCAAGCTGGGCTACAGGAAGTAGAAGCGTTTGCATGCAAGCGTTGCACTCGCCGGCGAAGAAAAACAACGCATTCGCCGCCAGGGAAACCGGCCTCAAAACGATCGTCCGCGGTCGGCGAAGAAGAGGCAGACACCACGACGAATATCCTGCATTTTTTCCCGTAAAGCATTGTTTTCCGTAAAGTTAAGTTGTCGTCGCAGTGTAAATAAGTTAAATCGTAAGGTGGTCGTGAGAAAGATGCATGAGAAATACATGTTGAAGAAAGCTATACATTTTTGTCTACAATTTTTGTCGTTACCCTTAGAATTAGTAAAAATGTATTTAAGTAATAAAGTAACGAGTCACGTGTACACTTTATGCAATTGTAACAAGTAAATAAGGCGATTTAAGATAATATAATAGTATGTCGAGACGAATTGTACGTAAAAATCTGATATCTGATATAAGACAATAATAATAACAATATATTTTCACCAGGGTTGGGAAGTAACTCATTACTTGTAACGAAGTTACAGTTACAGTTACTTCCTTTTGGTAACTCTAACTTAACTTCGTTATTTTCTCTCCATCTGTAACTGTAACTAAACTTAGTTACATTTTTTCGATAACCAGTAACTAATTTAATAGTTACATTAATAGTTACTTTATATTTTAAACCCCCACAAATCGTATTAGGCCTCGCCTTTGCGCATAAATGCCTCCCTGGTAGCATTTATTGACTATACATTGGCTAACATTGGATTATATTGGGAGTGTATTGGCCAGGATTGCCGAATAAAATTGTAATATCGAATATAGAAGAAATACTAATGTAACGCCAATGTTACATGTCAATAATATTGCACGGTACTTCAACACGGTACTTCAACACGGCGTTTCAGCTTTTTGTTAATAAACCTACGAGTCTTTCGTTAAAATCGCGACGCGATTTATAAGAGGTCCGATTATACGCGCGCGATTTAATAGGGATTTAATAGAAGTCTTTTTAATCTTGCACATATGCGAGAAAATGTAAACAAGATAAGAATATAACCCACCCGAATTTTGACACATAAGAAGAAATTATTTAACTTATTTCGTACAACACCTTACTTATATACTCTATCAAAGTGGCCAATATTGACCAATTACTTAGTCGTATTCCATCGTTGGGCCAGATTGAACCTACCATTCGTTGCTCCCGGCCATACAGTCTGGTCATTTTGACCAGAGATCAAGAAGGAAGGAAACTCCTTCCATTGTCGGTTATCGTCACCGACAAATATTTCGTAAGGTTCGAATAAACGAGTGTCGATCGTATCGAAAAATGCATGATCACGAGAAGTCACTTAAAGAAGAATATTAAGTCAAAAAACTTTACTGTATACACGAATAAAATTTATTTTTACTGCCGTTAATTATTCAAAAATATTGACCATTTCTTCGTAACTTGATCTTTGAATTCGAAATTTAAATAGATATAGAAAAAAATTTACTTCGCGTTAGAGTGATTTTAATCATATTCCACGATAAATTAAAATGTGTAATAAGGATATAAAATTAAACAATTAATAATTTCTTGGAAATTTTTCTTGATAAACCGATCGCGAAAACCGACCACGAAAACCGACCGCGAAAATACAAAGATGCGTGCTATGCATGTATTCATGCCAGACGCATCTTAAAAGTATATCACGTATGTACATACATACGTACATAAACAGAATAAATGATGTGAGATCCAGAAAAACGAAACTTCTTTCATGATTTCAACCGATATTATAATTGCATATTATAATTATAAATTAATAACTGGAAATAATATATAAAAAGAAGTTGAAATTTCAGTGTTCTCGACTAAATATATTCGAATCTCACGTCATGTTATTTTATTTTGTATATCAATTCGTTAATAAAAATGGATAGGCTACATGAATAATGTTCGCCATATTTCGCTTAACTTCTGTTATTCAACTATTCTCAATATAGAAAATGAGCTCGACATACACTGATTTGTAGAGCTCTCCAAAGATTCAATATATTAAATAAATAATTTAATTGCCGTTGGCATTTGAAGCCTGTCCATTTTAAGGCAACGAATATACAAGATTTATATCTACGATCTACAAACTACGTTCTACGAGATATGTATATTCGTTGCCTCAATAAAAAAAGTTTCGGACTTACTGACCAGATGCGCAGCAGCGGAGTTTATCTACGTTGATTCTGTAACAAAAAATTATAAAATTAACATTAAAAGAGAGTACACAAGAAAACCAATATTAATGAAAATAATTTTTAAGGCCCGGTTTCACCAGACGTCGCTTAACTTTAATATATCTTAGTTTAATTCACGTTTGTCTCTTTCTAAAATGACAGTTGGAAAGAGATAAAGAACGAATTAAGCTAAGCTTAAAGTTAAACAACGTTGGCGAAATCGGGCCTGAATTATTTAAAATAAACGAGAGGAAGATAATTTTATATGAGATAAAAAGCACTTACCATAAAGTTGCTCCGCCGTTGCCTGATGCCTCCTCGGCCGCCGCTTCCTCTCAGAGTCCTCCGTTTCGCACTGGCACAAAACAACACTCGCGAAAGAGGTAACTCACGACACGGCACTCCCGGCGGAAATACGAGCCGAATCCGGCGAGACGACGTCGCGTGAAATGACGAGAAGACGTTCGGGCGGGAAGGACTCGCGGAGATGCGCGAGGTTAACTTGACGCGCGTCGCGTTCGACGGGGCGATTTCGCGCGAGTGTTTCTGTCGCCGCGCACCACGCGTGGAAAACTCGGATGTCGCTGCACGCGCGAGGATGCACGAATTAACAATTGAAGAACTCGGTGCACTCGTGGCGCGCGAGGATACGACGGCGCCGCAACGACGCCGACCGCGCGTGAGATTTCGGCCGGGGTTGCCCAGATTTATGCGTCTCGATGGATCACCGACGCGCGAGGGTGGAGTCTACGTCGCGCGACTGTAAAGCTGGTGGCAGAGAACGATCCGTAAGCGCTCAAGACTGGCTCAGTCGTATAGACGTAGGGCAAGCCAGAGAGAAACGTAAGTCGTGACAGGCTATTGTATACGACTTACGTGTTTCTCTCTGCCTTCTTGCCCTACGTCTACGACTGAGACAGTCTACGGATTGCTCCCTGCCATCAGCCTTACACTGGGAAATGGTCAACTCACTGTGATTGTGCGTACCGTGAAACGCGACGACCAACACACTGGACCGACTTGCTGCGTGTCCACGGCGCTCCTCGGACGGATCAACATGGCCGCTGCTCCCGGCAGCTACTGCGCGGCGCTACTAGGGCGGCACTACGCGAGTCACGCCAACGACGCGATGTACCACGAATAGCGAAGCTTCTCTCTTCCGAGACACGAAAACGACGTCCCGCGGCACTCGCGAAATCGATCGGCTCGATCGCGCGGTTGTGACGTCGCTCAATTACGCGGAAAACGATCGCGCACATCGCCCCGTGGCGTACGTACCGGCGGCTCGAACGATACTGCGAAGCGCGAACGTCCTCTGTGCGGCGGTCGCCGGCGGCGCGGCGGCTCGGCGTAAACAATCTCCGAGCGACGCGAGGGTTTGAAAAAACATGAAAATAGTTTTGACGACTTAATGAAAGAAACGCTCCGTACCTGCTCCGTTGTTTTTCACGGATAAACGGCTATCATTATGCCTCGGTAACAGTTGTTCGCTGTGAACGCTTTGAAAAGTTTTTATTTCGATTAAACGGCACTCCTGAACGCGCCGACAATGGAAACTTTATGTTATACGCGCAATTTTATACATATAATGATAGAGAGATTATTTCTTGGCAAGCGATCGATGTACATATTGTAATTTTTTGTTATCATTTTACCCGACGATTCGTGTATTATCTTACGCTTTTGATCTGAAAGCGACAAATGTTTAACTTGAACCGACGAAAATTTTCAAGCATAACGTGAGAGAGATTCATCCGAGTTTGATTGTTAAGAAAGGTATTATCGCTCGTGGATGTATCGAAACTAATTAATAATTTATATACGTGATTCCTCGCATTTTCTCTTCCAATTACGCGTGATATTTATCTCGACAAATCGCCGCAGAACGATAAGATTACGGATTGCAACAATTTCTTTTATTAACGGAATCATACACAGTTGACAAATTTGTATTAAATTTAACAGATATCACATGTCTCAAACGGTCCACACAAATTTTTTTGTTAATTTAACATAATATGGATATGATCGCACTAATACTCTGTTAATATTTTAACACAAAATAAATGCAAATCTCAAAATAATTTGAAATAAAGTTTGTATAAAATTAACACATTTTTAATGATAAAATGAATTTTTAAAAGTGTAATTTTTACATGTTGCAGATGTAATAAGTCAAATGATGGTTCGAAATCACTCTCACTTACATAGAATAAAATCAACGTTTTATTCTGAAAATTTTAACAGATAAAACCTTGTTACTAATAATATAGAATTACAGAACATACGTATTGTGTAAGATTAAAAATAAGTGCACATTGTGTTGTTTTAACATTTCTTTTCAGTTATTTTAATAAAGATTTGATATTTTTATTTTCATTGCAAGAAAGTAACTGAAAAGTAATGATTCGTTACTTTTTGAGTAACTGTAACTGTAACTCGTTACTTTTCAGAATTGGTTACTTGTAACTATAATTAATTACATTTTCAGCGAAACAACTGTAACTGTAACTAGATACTTTTATAAAGTAACTTTTCCAAACCTGCTTTCACCAAGTAATTAAAGAATTCAGTAATACTGGATGTTTTATTTCGCGACGATTTCGTCCTCCTCATTTTGGAGGGTACAAAAATCGCATTGGATTTGAAATCATTCGGTAATCATGTCATTACGAGATAATAATCGTCACCTTTCGTTGGCATTTCCCTCCCACGCACTTTTCAGAGGCGAGGACTTCAAGAAAATCCAGC